TTCAGTGGTTCCAACAGTGACCTGGATAATTAAATAGCAAGAATGCCTATTAAATTTGCAGGAGATAGAAGGCTGGGGCGGATTGCTAGTACACTGGAGACAGAACTAGAATTCAGATGGATCTTGATGAACTGTGATATTGATCTTGAAAAAGTTATACAAAATTTAGTATGAGTAAGTGCAAGAAAATGGGTACTATGAATAACCAACTACAAAAATACTGGCTAGAGAGCAATAGGTTAGATTCTTCAGAAGAGGATTTTGAGGTTATTGTGTATCCCAAGATGAACAGTAGCTAACTTTATAATGCTTTTGTGAAAAGCCAAATGCCATACCCTGGGATTGTTGAATACAGGTTTGGAAACTGTATTCAAAAAGGGTATTGTTAGAGATTCTGAAGGATAACGGCAGGTATTATTAGAGAAAATGTTAAAAAAAAAAAAAAAGTTATTTCTGGACAATGTGGAAAGCATTTGGGTTATTAAGTTGTAAAAAGATAAGGGTACTGGTGGGATAAGGAATGATAAAACTCTGTCTAGATTTAAGACTGGTGAAAATAAAAAGGTAATAATCTATTCTTCATGTTCCTAATAGACTGGAAAAGAAGCTATGGGCTTGAACTGCAGCAGGAAACTCAAGCTAAATTTCAGGAAAGCTATCTAACAGTAAGATCAGTTAAGCAATGGATTAGTTCTTGCAGTTTAGGGAGCTGCAAACTCTCCATTTATTGTAAGTCTTCAAAATCAGATTGAACAAACATCTGTCTGAAATTGTACAAATATAGTTGAACTTGGTTTAAAGAAGGGTGGGCTTGGGTAAGTTCTTAGTGTCCTTCTAGACCTGTTTGTAGATGAAGCTACGGCCATATTTTATACCTAAATTCATAGTGAAAACACACATGCCATTCTATGTGATTCTATGCCACTCTAGTTGTGTACATATGTATTTTTAATTTTCAAGATGAGGCAGCCAATATACAGGTAACCAACTTGTATGTGCTCTTGCTTCACAACACACACTACAAATCTGGGGCGTTTCTTGCTTTTCACTCTTGGTACTGAAGTCTCCATATGGCTTTTTCTGTCCACCTCCATGTTTTCTTGCAATATGTAGACAACAGGGAGGCAGAGACCTTCAGTGCACCTACTTGACATCAGAAGTTGCGTAGTTGCAGTTGTAGGTGAGGTACCGGCTTGCTTTGATGGAATAATCTCCCAGTCCACAGTAAATTCTACCAGTTACCTTATCTTCCTGCTTGGGAAAGTCCTTGATTGCCTGGAAAACTGTTACAAATGTATTTTTCTTCTAAAGTGCCCTTTTGAAGTTTTCTCAGGCTGGATGAAAAACCACAACAAATAAACAAACAAAACAAAAGAACAGCCAGAGAGTTCAGAGTTTATGCACACTACCTATCTAATTGCTTTCTCAAGGAGTCAGAAATGCCAGGAGATGGCATACTACTTCAAAGTATACAAAGAAGAGTATGCCAATAGCGCTGAAGTTGCATCAGAGGAAAATCATGCTCCCTGCAGCAGCTCTTCCTCAGCACCTCTTGCTGTTGCCTGTTTTGGGAAGTAGATTGACTGCAACCTAATTTCACTTTATTCTTCATAGCCCTTGCTGGTTTGTTAGAGACTTGGTCCTGTGTGAGCTTCTTAGACAGTGCACTAAAGACAGAAGAAAAATTAATCCATCATCTATAAGCTGAATAAAAAAAAAAAAATAAAAAGAAGCAAGAAAAAAAAAATCCCTTGAGCAAGCATGTGCTTTGGGGGCTAAAACAGCAGTATATATTTCATATTGGCACTAGCAAGACCAATATGTGACAAGGTGACATTCCTTTAAAATGTTTCTTATTTGAATTGTCTAATCTTCTCTTTGCTGACAAAGCTCCTTTTTTTCTTCTTCTGTAATGAAAGTCTCTGGCATGTTAGTCTAATTGAAATGACAGGCCGATTCTTTGTCACTGGAGCATCCCCAAGTGTTTAAAAGGAAATGTTAGCTGAGGAAGAAAAAGTTTTATGTTAACCGGTTAGAAACCAAAATCTTTTGCTATAGCAGTTTGTTTCAAGAAATGAGAATCATTAATTTAGTGCAAATATGTTTAAAAATTAATAAATTAATTGATTATTTATTCAATAAATAATTAGCTTTATATTTGGAATAGCTACAGTTGCAAATGTGTGAATGATGCTGTTTCTCTGACTGAAGGAAAGGAGTTGAAGGCATTTTAAAAGGCATTAGAGAAGTTAATTTTGTGATTATTCCATCTTTGGAGTTCCAGGAAGTGGAAGCTCCTCTGTTTTCAGACAATTTTGCCTGCTCTTCTGTCTTTCTGTTTTGTCTTTAACATTAGTCCTCAGAGCAGGCGTGCTTAGTGCCAGTGCTGTAGCTTCAGGGACGAGATTTTCTTTTTCTGCTTAGCTGCTCACCTTATTCCAAACATGAAATCTCAAAACAGATTTCTCTGAGCTGTATTGAGAAATTATATGCAGGCTGTATGTCTGTCTGACTGTCCCAGTCCTTGCCATTGCAGAGAGGAGCAGAAAAAGGAGGCATTTCAAGCAGAAATCTACAATAGTAGGAATGGCTCCCAAAGGCAGCCACATGTCCCCTTCAAAAACCATGGGAGTCATGGAAAAAGCAGTGTAATTTAACTTGCCTGCTGGAACGAAAGTTCAGCAATAAGGAAATTTGTAATGATTAACTATTCCTAAATGCTATATTCATGTCCCATGTTAATAGGTAGTATAGAAGTAGCTTGTGCTAGATCTCTGCTTTAATGACTGAAGCCCAAGTGTCAGAGAGAGCTTACCCTCTCTGACTCCCAAATTATCCCTAAGAAATCCTATCTCATGAATATTAAAATTCAGCCTCCTGTGCCATGATCAATACATTAATTTTTAGGTATGACCTCACAAAGATCCAGCCTGTCAAGCTATGGGCATTTGTCCAATATTCTTGTGTAAATGTCAAGACAGATGGTTCTCAAAACCTGCTGTAATATTTCCCATAATAATAGAAGTGTCTGCTTGCACTGACCTCTTCATTTCAGAAATGGAAACCCAGGCAAATGCTTGCTAAATGGCAAAAACTGACTTGGCATTTTGACAAAAGCAATGAGATTGTCTATAAAGTATGGCAAGTTCCCTGTCTTGTCTTGTGTTAATAACTATTCGCTGGAGGAAACCATCTGGAAAAGTTAGTCTTCATGGAGGGAACAGGATGCATTGTTGCAGAAGCAAATAGAAGCACACCTTTGTATAGAAGCCAGGGAGTTAAGTATTGCACTTAACAAAGTTAAGTATTTTAGTTAACAAACAGATAAACTTCTTATGCCCTCAGCACAGGCAACTATATCTGGGGTAGTTATGCAGACATTCAATATTTGGTGGGGAAACATCAGTATGCAAGGGGCATGATTCATCCCACTGCAACGCGTTTCAAATAAGCCAGAAGAACCCTGGTACTTTTTCTTTTCATAGTCTCTGAAGGGAGTCAAAGTGACAGGCTTAGACATAGATATCTTCATTCTAGATTTCAAAACTGAGGAGAAATGAGATGGAACACCCCTCTTCTCTTGCCTATAGTAGGTGCCAGCTCAAGGATAGAGACATGCAGTGACCCGTTCAGTAGCTGAGATTTGCTACCAGTTCACATTGGAGAGGTGTTTAATGATATATCAGGAACTTCCCTTATTTATTTGGAATTCACTTTGAAGGACTACATATTCCAATGCTTTCAGGTCAACCTGCCTTTTGAAATGCTAATCAGATGAAATTAGCCTTTACTACCAGTAGATATTTGTATATCAAAGAGATTCTTTGTACACTTTCTGTCAGTCTGAATCAAGTTTAGATCACACTGATGCATTATTTTTAATGCTGATTCCCAGTAAAATCTTCTTTTCTACATCATTAACATTCTAATTATTTTTAGCCTAGTGTTCGCTAGCCATTACCATGCTGAATATTGCACAGGAAAGTGAGTATTATTCATACTAATGGTTCATTACCCCTCTAGTTTTATGTGTGAGAGTCACAAAGCCGATGCCAGAAATAGAACTGGCTATACTGAACATTGTAATACCATTCAATGTATTGAACAGGGCTGAAGACATTTCCTTCTCCTCCACCAAAGAGTGGAGCTTCCTCTGGGGGATGTACCAAGGTGCACAAAGCCCACGTCCCACGCAGAAACCTGTATATTCCCCTGCACCTTTCCTCACACAGGTCACATCAAACAAACTGCAGATCATCTCACTGTTAAGCAAGTGTTTTATAGCAGCTAGTTGTCTTCACTGTAGCCCGCGGCCAAGGCAACTGAGTGCCAGCGCAAGAACAGACCAAACTGGCATTTCTTCCAGTGCTTGTCCTTCCCTGCTAACGCAGCTGAATAGCTGAGATGATCTGGTAAGAATCTTTGAATGGAAGTAATTTTGTGACTAAAGAAAACTAGACTTGGGGGAAGTTTGAACAGTCTATTGGGGAATACTGCTTTATTTCTTGGTTCACTCCATTATTGAAGAAACAAACCACCCAACACAGGGATAAGGAACACCAGCACAAGGATTCTATGTGAATGAAGATGTATCTTGAGTAGTAAACTTCAGATTTCACAGCAAATGCAGGTCTGAATCCTGTGCTGGGAAAGTTTTGTGTAAAGCAATATTGGTTTGTCAGAACTACGTATAGTAAAAATTTGTCAAATATGTTCACTTAAGTTGTTTATCTTACCCTGTAAAAATAAACAGACACATAAAAGTCCTAATCTGAACAAAAACACTTTGTAAACAAGATATAGGCCCAAATTCACTGAATATAAATTGATTGCAACAAGTTATTGTGTCTGCTCTGTTTATTGCCATCTGCCATCTGCTTGGAGCAATTGATACTCATTCAAATTACTCTGAAGTAACAAGCTTTGTCGCACCCAGCTTTGCAGACTTTCTCCAAATACTGTTTATTTTAGTCTGGCAACATTTGTCTCTCCCGCCACAGGTAATCAGCGAGTTTGAAGCCTCTCCCGACTCATTTTCCTACAGAATCCCCAACCTGAGCCGGAATCGCCAGTATAGTGTCTGGGTGGTAGCAGTGACTGCTGCGGGAAGAGGCAACAGCAGCGAGATTATCACTGTGGAACCTCTAGCTAAAGGTACTGTGACAGCACTTTTTAAAGCCATCTAGAACTTTACAATGCTAATTACTGTTATAATTGGCACGTGGCTTCTTTATGTCTCATTGCTTACTAAGAGTGGGATTGTCAGGAGTAACTTCAGTTCTCTCCAAAAGTTAGGTGACAACTCTCAGCTAATTGCCTGAGCTTTTGCTCTAGTCAGCAAAGAGAGAATGACGTGCTCCTCCAGGGAGTAAGTCATCCCACCTACCTTAGAGGAAATAAATTGCTTTTTGGAGCAGTTTTTATCTTCTTTTGTTGGGTACAGAGGATTTGCAGATGGTCCCCCTCCCCTTCTGAATGTATCTTTTTCTTTTTTTCTTGCCATACAAGAGAACTTCTTTTTTCACTTCTCTCCTTACTAATATCTCTTGGTACTCCACAAGAACTATCTTCTATATAAAATGCTCTCATTAAAATATCTAAACTCTGAACAATTGTTCTGAACTTTCATTAGCTTTGAAGTTTACTGCTTCTATTTCAGATATGAAGAAGGGATAATGCCCCTCAAATCTTGCAGTTTGTTTGTTTGAGCTTTGTTTTTGTTTTGGTTTTTTTTTAGCTTTATTAGTTGTTCTATTAAAAACTAGTGCTTGGGCCTGTGAATTCTGCTTTACCTCTACTGTGAGATGGGATGCTTACAACCCTATAGTACCATAGCTTGGCAATCGAGATGTAAAATTTTATACAGCAAAGTGAGAAAGAATCCCATCAGTACTCAATCTCTACATCAGGTCTTTGGAAATATTTTTTTTCCCCCACTCAAATCGGTAAAGTCACAGCATGTACCAGTATGAACAGTGTATCGCACAGGTCCCTGTTGCAAAATTAGATGCATTAGAGTTCTACAAGCCTGTTAATTTTTTAGTCATCTACATACTGCATACTGCATTATGAACATTGGTGAGGCCAAAGCTGAGGTCTTAAAAGTTGGATAAGGAGTCTAAAGGAAGGAAGATCAAGAAAAAACACCTCAGGAAAACAAGGCAAAGGTTTCAGTGTTTCTTTTTATCCAGCTATTACCTGTGTGTAATGAATGTCTAGTGATAAAAAATAAAAAGAAAAAAATAAATAAAAAGCAGCAGCATAAAAATAGATGCTCATATAAGAGCAAATCTAATTAGACAACAACATGGTGCAATAGTATTCGATTGAGGATGCAGGCCAGCCCAGGAGTGTGTATGGACTTCTGCATTAAAGCACTAGAAGTTCTTTTCTCCATGTCCTATGCATTTAAAAAGAGAGGGAGATTTTCAGGCAAGACGAAAGCAGAACAGCATAGGTATCAAGATTCAAACTCTTTAGTTATGAGGAAATGTAGTATGAGATTGCTCTCAGTTTGCCAAAAATAAAGAAGCTATAAATTGACCCACATGTACTTAAACTGAACAAGCTTACCAGAGACTGGAATTAATTCTGCTCCCTCAGACCTTATTTATCATGATCCGTGGGGACAAATAAGTGAACTTAAAAATAGCTTGTATGAAAAGACGAGAACTTTAAGGAAAAGTGTGAACAAGACTGTTTGGAATGCATCCAGTTGATGTTAGAGATAGTAGTGATGTTCCAATATAAAGTCTGCATTAGATGATGCTCAGGGCAAGGCTCTTCTACATGCACTTAGGGTCGAAAAAGCGACAAATAATCCTTTTGTAAAGGTTGTGACTGACACTAGGAATACTGATAGATGGCAATTTTATGAACTTTGTATGTGTTACAAGTTATTGTATCATGTACAACATTTCCTGTATGAGTGCATCACTGGGCCTTTTAGAGTGCTGGGAGAAAATGATCTGTGATCAGGGCAGTGGATACACAATGAAGAAGGGCACGTAGAACTAATAGCCTTGAAGACCTTTCTTACCCCCCAGTACTTGTGAAGGAAGAAACACATCACAGGTTTAGAAGCAGTTATAGCCTGATTTTGCCAGAAGTTTCCAGTGCAAGAACAACCTATGGGCCATTATGGTGAGGCTGTTTGCTTCCTTTTTTTTTCTCCACTTATTTCACAGTAAATGTCCAAGTAATGATAGCATCATGACAGCTAATGAAAGTTAACTTTGAATTGAATTACATCAACTTAACTATAACCCCTTTAAGAGAACCCCTCTGAGAACAATGAGAATGTCTAGATAAGGGTTTGATGTGAAATGGATAGTCCAATTTAAATGAAAGCTTAATTCAAATTAACAGGTTTTTTTTCTCTAATGTCTCCCATTTCTCAGAGCAGTTTGCTATTCTCTGTAATTAACTGACAAAAATAAGGAAAAAAATATCACAGTAGTGAAATTTCATTCTCTATAAAAACAGTCTGCACTCCCCACCCCAACTTAGATTTCATTGCTGACTTGAAAGTTGTGAGTTTAGCCTATCAAATATATCTGAAAGACAGAAAATTTTGCATGCACCTCGTTGCTTCTATTTTCTGACCATGACTGATGGAACATGGCTTTTGCCAGCAACATGATGGTAACAGATCTAGACAATCCTCTGGGAAGAACTCTCTGACCTGAATGTTGAGTTTCCGTTGCTGTTTTAGACTACCTGAGCATTAACAGCAAACAGATTTGCCTCCTAGTCTATATTGCTTTGTGAGTTAAATGTTTTTAAAAAACATAAGGGGGACATTGGTCTGTTTCTTTAATAGTTCATCATATTGGAATGCACACAATATTTTTCTGTGAGAAATAAATGAAAGAAACTCCTGACTCAGGGTATTCACCAGTGGCCCCTTATACATTTTTCCTTTAAAATTCAGTTGTCCTCTAGAGGGGAAAAAAAAAAAAAAAAAAAATGTGCTACAGCTTCTTGTAAAGAATATCTGCCTATTTCTTATTCTATGGCAGTAAGTGTAAGTAATAGGATTCATAATTTAAACAAACACGCAGAAAACAACATCGCCACAGGAGAGAGCACAGTTCTGTGAAGGAACCTCTTTATCATCAATTAATGATTGGGTAATTTGTAAAAAATAGGAACAAACACAGTCTTAATCCAGTGCCTTGCCATCTAAAGTGAAGCTGACGTGTAGCTGGCAGGGATGTGGGTAGCTTCAATAACAAAGAATTCAGCTCTGCAGCTGAATTACCCACATGCTGTGTAAAGTTCACTTGGCTCAAAAGGCAGAGATCTGGGAGATTCAAATAATTATAACCTCATGAATGCCTGTTAGCATTTGAAACCTATGGCTTTCAGATGAATTTTACTAGGCATTTACTTTTTTTTTCTAGTTTTGTTTGTGTACCTGTTAGCCGTCTTGGAACACTACTAGACAATAAGCTATAAAGAAAACTGGAGTTGAGGATTTTCATGCTATTTTATTTCATGCTATCTCTTTTAAAAACACTGAGTACATGAAAGGAATAAAATAATTCACAGAGAACTAAGTACTTTCACAAAAATAGAATGGTATGCTTTTATAAGGTCCACTTCTGAGTTATAGTCTGTGATATTACCACTGGCATAGGCTTCTGTGAGGTCTGTATTACTTCCACACATCACTGTAAAATGGGACATGCAGGGTATTGAAAACCAGGAGCTACGACATAAATGTTGTATTTTGGAGATCTGATATCCAACCTATAATTTAAGGAAGAATTCACATAGAAATAACTTGTAAAAATGAAGGGATATCACAGAAAGTTTGCTAACAGTGGTGCCATATGCCTAAGGCTTCTGCAGGATTCCTGCATTACAGATGCTTTGTCCTAAAGTATCTGTCAGCAGTTGGAAATAGCTGGATATTTCAAGAAATACTGGAGACTTGTGAAAGCCAGGGCTAAAAGGAGTAATAGTTCCTTTTAGATGAGTTTTTAGGCTTCATGTTACAGAGGAATTTTGCATGGAACAGGAATTTGGGTTTCTAACCACCATTGCTCAGAATGCACTGCAGCTACTAGCAACAGTTTAGATGCTTACAGATGTGTTTTGTGACTAGTTACAGCTGATAGCATCTCCTGCTGCCTTTTAAAGTTATCATGAGTACTATTAGGCATCTCCTACAACAAAAACCTGGCACCACAGGAGACAAATGAGCCTTCTAACACTAACTGCAGTGGAGTCAACATTTCACACCATGTGTCTGGGTAGAATGAGTATTTTTCTATCCTAGTTAGCTTAGTTAATTAGCCCATAGCTTGTGGCAATATAGCCCTGTATAAAACTTTTCTAAAAGATATGGCCTTAGGCGTGCCACAGCGAAAAACAAGGCTGTATCATGAGACTTAGTGACTGACTTCATCTTTTCACCATTCTGGTGTACCACCTCCTCAGGGCAGCACACGCTGCAGCACCCTCCTGCTGGAGCTAACCAGAAGGAGGGAGCTGGGATCTTCAGGTGCTTCTTAGCCAGGACAAGACATGTTGATGCTTGGGTGTTAGGAAAGCCATGTTGTCCCATTACCTAATCTTGACTTTGTCCATTGCTCTAAATCTTTAAACAGCTCCTTTTTGTGTTTTCAGTTAAAATTTTGACCAAAGAAAAATCTCACAAGAAGCTTAGTCTTCAACAATGATTGAAGAGAACGTAGGCAACACAGTCCAAACTGATTGTGTAACCTATGAAATCTTTTCTTTTTATGAATATATAAATTCCCAATGCAGCCTACTCAAATAATTTCCCTTAACTCTTCAATGCCTGTTCCTTTATGTGTGATTTTCTTTTAACTGTCCCAGTTATATTTGATGCTGACTCTCAATTTCATACTTTTCTAATTGGTGCAAAATGAATTTTTAAGCAAAAATTCTGATCAGTGTGCATGACTGAAATAGATCAGGATTAAAAATACAGTATTTTCTGTATCTCTACTCAGTATGTGTCTTTGAGATGTATGTTTAGAGCCAAACAAGAAGTCTATTTCTATCAAGTATCATTCCTGAGTAATAGCATACAATGAAGCTCTAACACAACCCTACTGTTCCTGTATTCTATAAAATGAAACTACAGGAATGATATTTTTTTGTTGGAATATTTAGGTTATATGACAGCTGGCACAAATTAAATTGACTTAAGAGTTTGTTCATATTTGTGGACTTCAGACAGACTCTGCAATGTACTAACATGTACGTACATGAAGGTTTATTTTGCTTAATACTGTAGCTGTTATAACAGTGATGTATCAATTATTTAGGTTTTGTAATATGCTTTGGACATTTCCTGCTTGAATTTTGTAAAGAAGCACCCCTTGAACATGATTTTCATCCACGATTCCTACTATGAAATCTGCAAAACATAAGTAAAGTTGATCAAAAACTGTCTTTTCTCTTTTTCTCCACAAGGACTCTTCCAGTCCTCCGCTTCATCTCTCTTTTAGTTAGTCTTCCAGATACTAAAGCTAGAATATGTGTACTTAAATAGCTGATACTATGAGTTAAAAGGAAATGGTTTCCTAAAAGCACAGTTTGAAGCAGATTGGTTAGGTTTTCCATATTTAATTCTGTATGTCTGTGTTTCCCTTCCAAAGGCTGTATGAATGAACACCTCATTTTAGTCTTTCTTCCTCTCTTTTGCTCAGCTCCTGCCAGGATTTTGACATTCAGTGGCACAGTGACAACTCCCTGGATGAAGGACATTGTCCTCCCTTGCAAAGCCGTGGGAGACCCAACTCCGACAGTCAAATGGATGAAGGATAGGTAACCAGCAACTAAATGAAATTGCTTAAATAAAGCTCCTGCTCTTAAAATCATGAAGGTTGCAATGCAGATGAACCTGGATAACTGTGTCAGGAAGGAGAAGGATCATTTGTGGGGACTGCACTCCATCACAGTAGACAAGGAAATGAGAAACTCCTCAAACTAAAACTGATTTGCTTTCGTGGTTAGAAGGTATCAAAAGGGAAGAAAAGTTACCAGGAAGGGGTAAAGGTAAACATTCAAAACATAAAACCTGGGAGCCTTTTCTGTTTTAACTTCAGGTACACCAAACAGTTTCAGTTTGAGAACGGAAAATGCCTACTGCTGTAGAATGCAGTGTACACATCTTGCATATAGCTTGTTTTCCACTTTTCTGTTCTGATTTTTAGTTTCACAGTTAGACAGTCACTTGGAAACACATATGCACAACAATTTTCATCCAAGCACTGTGTAAGCAGTGATACTGCAGTGCTATAAAACCATCTTTTGCATTGATACAATCAGCTATTATTTTGTAAGGATAGACTTTGTAGCCAGGAACTGTCTTTTACTCCTTTTTTTGGCATTTTTATGAAATAGCAGACAGTTAAGGAAGGAGAGAATTTCCATTTTCACTCAAACTGGGGTCAGGATATGTGTGTTCTTTAAGAAAATTGCAGGTATTTCCCAGCAGAAAATACTCCTTTGCTGTCTTTATTAAAGATGACATTCCCCATCCTCTTTTTATATCTTTCTATTTTTAGTTGCTTAAAAAAAAAAGAATCCAATTCTGAGTAATTTTGGTTGTAACTTCTTTAATATATGCACTTTGTTTCCTGTGAGGTAGTAACGGGACACCCAGTCTAGTGATGATTGATGGGCGAAGAAGCATCTTTAGCAATGGCAGCTTTGTCATCCGTACTGTGAAAGCAGAAGACTCTGGATACTACAGCTGTGTGGCCAGTAACAACTGGGGATCAGATGAAATAATTTTAAATTTGCAAGTACAAGGTAAGACTGTTGGATCTATCTCAAATTTGTTCTCACAGCTATTAACTGCTGTGTGCTAGTAATGCAAAGATACCTCTGTTTGCATAAGTATGTCAAATACTAGTATTAATGTGTATTAATATAAATTTCATTCTTCCAAATTAATAAATAAAATAGTATACAGGTCATTCTGACTGAGCCATCAACATCTTATGATATAGCAAACCTTTTGGTTTTGGTGGAATGATTCACACCCTTGCAGTTAAGTGTCCATGTAAGCTTTTGTAGCATTGACAATTGTTTGCATTTGGTTATCTTCTGCACGTGTCTTCACACAGAAAATGTTAACTTGTAATGTCTTTAAGGAGAATGCATATGTGTCATTTTAATAATGCCAAATTCAGAAAGAGCTGAAGGTCTTATCTTCTGAAAAGCTATCAACAGAAACATATCTTTGTGCTGAGACTTTGGACAAAAACTTTTTATGCAAGATCAGAATTTTACTGATGGTCAATATGAGGAAGCATTTAAAATGAAACATCAGAAGACCTTCAACTAGCTACTTTTTATATGCATGTTGAGATGTCTATAATGTATCCATAATGGTGCTGATACGTATACAAGCAATATCTATATAAGAATACACATTAACAGAAATGTGAAGCAGAGCATGTGTATTCACATACCAAGAATTCACTCTGCAGTTTTCATTGCTCACTTACAGTAAAGTACATCCTAAGAGTGCTACAGCTGATTGAAATTGTTGTACTGTAGGGAGGCAAGTAACTGCATTTGGAATATGGGGCATGCAGTGGCCAGTCACTCCCCTGTCCCTTGATACAAGATATAAACTTCTAGTGCAAACGTATGAGAACACAGAAAGAGATTGTTTCAGCTGCAGTCCAACCCTCACTGCATAAAACATTCTGCTAAGACTTGAAACAAGTACCATAGTGTACAGTAACTGACCTACAATCCAACAGAGTTTAAAGGTGCTCTTCTGTAATGTCTGAAGCATGACCACAACAGGAAGTGGGGAGAGAAAACACTATCAAAAGGAAATCTTATATTCATATTTCACTAAGTACTTTTGTGATTGCATATCCTTGCTGTTACTGAACTGCAGTAACTAAAAGCAAATCTGTGTTACTTTCCTGAGGGACAGAGAAAGACTGGCATTTACTGTGTGGGACCACCATCTTTTGTACATAGAGTGAAGATCACATGAAAGGTTTTATGATAAAGCTTTCACAGTGCAGTGTACACAGTCTCCCTCCATGTAATCAACTAAGTCAGTCAGAATAATGGAACAAATCCATCCTACACAAGAAATTTTTGTTTAGAGTATAAACTGTCTTTTTAATTTTCTTCAGCATGGTTTAGCCCTGTGAGGGCAATAAAACCAAGTTCTCTTTGAACTAGTCCATAGCAGTAAACCAGCAGCCTCCATTTCACATCAGCACTCATTATTTTGCAATCTGCTGACCTGAACATGAACTGCATGAGGAAGCTTCTCTTGGAGTTTCACTTGGCAGGTAGAGCTACCCCTTAAACGGGCAAAACACGCAATGCCTTTTGGCAGCAGACTGCTGGACATGACAGAGTGTTTGTGACTTCTGTCCTGACTTGCTGACAGGCTGGTGTCTGTTAAGCAGTAACTACAGCAGGGAAACGGTAGCTCCTGCCAGCAGTAGTCACTGACACCATCACCTCCTTCCCATGCTTGCAGTGGCAGTGGCCTGAGAAGGTGTGAGTGCCCTGTCGTCTCTCCTCCCTGTCTTTCCATCCCAGCTTTGGCACTGCTTCGCAGATCCCTTCCCATGATGGATGCTGTCCGTGCCTCATGCCTTGCTCGTGATGCAGCGAAACTCAGTTTTGGCTATGTTTCTGAGGAGCTTGCAGACCTCTAGTAGCACCTGTTCAGAAAACAGTCTTTAAAATGAACCAGACAGTGCTGCTCTGCATGACCAGAGTAGTGCAAAGGATTTGAAAGAGGAACTTCTCTTTCTCCCCCTTTCAGTTTCTGAACTGACAATTGCAGATGCCAAACACTTGGGTGAAGTGTTAGTAAATATTTACCCTTCAGGGCTCTAATGAATATTCAACTAGCTCTTTGAAGTTTCACCTGCTGTTCTTCTTTATTTTAATAAACTCCATCCTCCACGGCCTTACTGGTTTTGTGTCATGGTTCAGGTTAGCTCACTTGTACAACAGGACTAGCTAAATGAGTTGGGCAGAAGTCGGAGATGAGCTCTCCGGGCTATAATCAGTATGTGATCAGATTGGCTCATGATAGATTTGCCAAGATTAAATGGAAACTGGGTACTTTGCCACTTTCTGCCCTGATCATTGAGCTCTGAAGTGCAGCCACCATACACTGGTGAAATTTGGGGTTACTTAAGCTGAGCCTAAACTGACTCCATTCTCAGTCCGTTTTCCAGCCCAAATTACCTGTTCTAGTTCTCCCTACCCCGAGTGACTTGTTGGGGTATAGCATGACTCTTTCTCTGGCTTTTCATGCTGGATTTTCCTCCAAAGGAAACCGGATGCTTGGGAGAGGGTGGGACATGAGAACTCTGTCTTACTCTGGCATTCTGCGAGGAGCTGCTGGTCCTGGAAACTATGGTTCTTATGTTGCATATTTTACACATAGCTATACTGCTTATGAGGGGCGAGAGAACTGAAGTGATTCCAGGCTTCTTCAGCCTTTGCTGATAGAGTTCTGTCTTCTTTAAACCAACAGCCTCAGTGAATAGACTATGTGATCTGAAAGACGTATGGATGTGCCTCTGATCACAGATCTACCTATGCTACCTAGTCAACACTCACAGTTACACTGGCAGACACTCTTACACTCTTTTTAAAAACTTTTGCCATAGTAGCCTTCAAATACATGCATGAGTGGGGCATCGTTTGCAAGTGACTATCTGTTTCTTGTCACTAAAAGTTCAGCTTCTCCCTAAAATGGATATGAGAAATAATGGCTGTGTAGCTCATATGCCATTCATATCTGACAGGACAGATACAAAAGATACACAGAAAAGCAAGGGTTAAGAATGGAAAGACAAAACTGTGTAGAAAATTAAATATAAAAAAATGAGAGCTTGCCTGATCTTGTCTGAACCACAGATGTCAGCTAAACAGACACTTTGACAGAAATAATTTGCATTTTTTTGCAACTCAAAACAGTTATTTGATAAGTGACTGTTAGAAGGGATTAAGATCACATCTAATCATTTTAATCTATTTTCTGTTTTTAACTATTTCCCATCTAGTTCCACCAGACCAACCAAGACTCACTGTATCCAAAACTACATCTTCCTCTATCACTCTTTCTTGGATACCTGGAGACAATGGTGGCAGTTCTATCCGAGGTAATGTAACTTAGGTTAAATGTAACTTCCTACTAAATTATCATCTGTGATAGCATTAGTATATAATTATGAATGGCTACAAAAGGATTAAAACAAAGCAATCTGTATTGCTGTCACTGCTTAATGTGCACTATTGCCGTGATAACAGCTTTCAGTAAATTGCAGTTTCTCTTTGTGGTGGTTTAATCACAGACTTAATCACTTCCTTCCAGCGTACCCTCAGTTGTTATGACAGTTACTCTCTCTGATTTTCCAGGCATGTAATCTCTAATAATTCATTTTTGAGGGGCCAGGTTCGTCATCTGGTCTTTGTTGCTGATTGAAGTGTATTTAGAAATGTCTATCCCTTTGCTTTCCCTTTAAAATGATCATAAAAATTATGCTTAAGCTGTTGTATGGGTAGGCAAAATGTATTGCTTGGTATCTTTTAGTCAGGTGAGACGTGTATGTCTTCCTGTGCATTGGATTTTTCTAGTTTTATTAGGTCTTTAAAACGGCTTGTCATATTATCTGCAGAATTTGTGGGTTTTGTCTGGTTTATTGTTGCCATCTGTGTTTTTCCTCTAGGTTATATTTTGCAGTACTCTGAAGATAATAGTGAGCAGTGGGGTAGTTTTCCAATTAGCCCTAGTGAGAGATCCTACCGTTTAGAAACATTGAAGTGTGGCACTTGGTACAAGTTTACTTTAACTGCTCAGAACGGAGTGGGGCCAGGGCGCATCAGTGAGATCATTGAGGCCAAAACGCTTGGAAAAGGTACATTGATTTCTATCCCCTTTTGTCACCTAAAGCTCTTGTATTCTGCTGTAGATCTTGGTTTGATGAGAAGATAGACCTGGATATTTTGATATTATTTGCTTTGGAATCATGTCCAGTTCTGTTCATGTTGTGACAGAAGAGGCTGTCACTGCAGAACATGAGGTACATACCCGCTGATGATCCATCCTTAGTTGTCTAATATTTTTTTTCTAGGATGGGTTGGTAGATATTTGAGAAGAAAGTGTCTCAATTATCTTAGGCTATAGCAATTCCAGCTAGTGCTATTCCCATGAAAGAATTGTTACTTTTCTTCCTGTAAAATTCACGGGTTTATTGCAAGTTCTTCAAAATTGTCATTTTCCCTAACTGAAAGCCTCTGTGCTCTCAGAAAAAAAATGTTCAATACCACTTCAAAAGAAGACTAGAGCACCAATGGAAAATCTTCAAGTGTATTCGTTTTCTATAGTATTTTTATGTGGTGTACTGAAACTTTTATTTTGCATAGCAGTGAGCAGGGATATTTACTGATATGAACTCTCAGCACTAGATTTACAAGTTGAGTTCTGACAGTCCATGCAAACTGGCAAGTCAGTTCCATGCAAAGATGTATGGATTTTTTTTTCACATATGGATTTGAAAATCTAAGTTTATGAATCTAGCACAAAGTGTGAAAAAACAGTTAAGAAGCAGAGGAAAAACAAGTTCAATGTATAGATACTGTTTTTAAGATGAAGCTAAGACTGTCCTAGAAATTACTCTCTTAATTTTATATTTTTGAATCCTGTATCTACAGTACTTAAGCATTTCATTTTAAATACATCACTGCTTCTAGAGCCACAGTTTTCAAAGGAACAAGAGCTCTTTGCTAGTATCAACACCACGAGAGTAAGACTGAACCTGATCGGCTGGAATGATGGTGGTTGCCCCATCACTTCCTTCACCCTGGAGTACCGGCCATTTGGGACAACAGTCTGGACCACCGCGCAACGGACATCCCTGTCAAAGTCCTACATACTATATGACCTCCAGGAGGCAACCTGGTATGAATTGCAGATGAGAGTGTGCAACAGTGCTGGCTGTGCAGAGAAACAAGCCAAATTTGCAACGCTCAATTATGATGGCAGTAAGTTTATTTTTTGTTTACATGTCTGAGATACTATTTTTACTATAGTTCCTCATATGGTTTTTTTGCTTGTCTGTCTTTTTTTCCCACCATAAAACCCATTTTGAATCTGCTAGCCATGCTGACAGTGAGGTAGCAGACTCTGAGAAATAAAATGCCTGCTAATTTCATGACAGTAGGCTGCTAGGAAGAAAAGAGGAATTGTTTATATGTCCTCACTGAGGTAAAGCTCCTGCTCCAAAGTTGATCAACCATGAGACACATAACTATAGGACACTAGGTGTCATTAGTTCCAGTAGTCACAGAAGCACTTGCTAGTATTTCATGCATCTCTTCCATGAACTTTTTATATCCCATACAATTGGTTCCTGCAGCCATTCACAGAGGTGACTGGCCTCATTGCTATTCCATGCACTGTCCTTGTGCCACAGCTCAAAACCCATTATGTGATGCAACAGAGCAGCTAACTAGCTTGTCTTCCATGAAAGCCTTGGGACAACATCCTCCTCCAAGGACAAAGCAATGGCAGTACTATTATCCCTATTTACAGATAGGAGAGAGTGAAACTAATGGCCGTGACAGATGGCTCTGTCATGCCCAACAGCAGGGCACAGGGGATGAAGGAATTACTGGATCCTGCCCTTCTGCCATGGGTTGCTGCTCATCCTGCAAAAGCCAGAACAAGAGGGCAAGAGCAAACATGCCAAATTGTCAGTCACTCCGGCTTACATCCTGGCAAGTTTGTTGAAAGTGATGGTGGCACATGTGTGCATCTGTTGGCTTTATAGTGGGAAATGGCTGTATTTCTGGGGGGGAAAAAAAAAAAAAAAAAAAAAAAAAAAAAAAAGGCAGTAAAAGCACTACAGATGTCTCCAGATAGAAATCTCTTGGACTACTCTAGTGTGAATTTCCAGAGCTTTTCCAGAGACACCCAGTGTAAGATATGGTTGTTTTGCCAGGGACACTGTGCTACATTGTGCAACCACCTGGCAACATCTGTACTGTTAGATTAAACAACAGGAATAGTGAGCAAATCCAAACAAGAGATGACAATTGTCCAGTGACAGCACCAGATTGTTGGTAACACATTTCTTTTCCAAAGTTTTGTCCCACACAAACCACTCTCCTGGACAATGCCCATGTATGGCTCAGGAAAGACCAAGAAACAGGGACCATTCCCAGTCAGAAGTGTGGGCTATGAATCAGACAGGGAGTAAACTTCAGCATCTTCCACATCCGCTAATGCTATCTCAGTCTTTGCACTAGCTACTCAGCAGTTCTTGGTGATGGTTAATGACACATGCCCTCATGGCACATCCCTTTTCGTTATGTCATTTCAGACTTTCTAAAAAATTAGGAGAAAGGCTTTTTATCTCAGCCTTTTAGAGACCTAAAGGAAAACTGAGAGCCAAGTAGTTGTTATACAAGTGTTGCCAGGTCTTGCCAGGTAGACTTAAGACCTGTTTTACTCAAGAAGTATAGGTGTTGCCCATAATAATCGTTTCAAGTATTGTGAGTTAGTTTCTTGCCACTTCACTCAGACTATCCCCTTTTCTTTCCAGTGTCTTTCTACAGGCAGCTTCCAACTTTCAGTGATTTATTTTTTTTTAATGTCTACAGTTATTGTTACACACATATAACTGGGGCGAACAGTACTGTCATACCTTAAAATGAGATTATATGAAAATGTAGTCCAAGCCTTAAATTCCCACTAAAAGCAGTGAAATCAAATGTATTCTTACAATGAACTGATTTGAGATATTGTCATACTCTGCTTCTTGGTTACATGATCATACTTGGTTTCAGATACTGTGCCCTGCACATCATTTGATTTTATGTATTTCTGTATGGCATCTTTAAAAGTCAGAAAATGAAACCAAAAAATAAATATTGGTAGCATTAAAGTTTTTGGGCCACTGCTTTTGGTCAGCTAGAAAATTTCCCATTTATGGCATTGATGGTTTTGTTTCTTATGCATGCTTTGCCAGGACTTGTCCAGCTCCACTTTTGAATGCTAACCCTGTCTCTACCACTGATTTGTCTTGTGATGTGGGGTTAGTCCCTTCCAGCTTCTAGGGGTCACAGCTGTCCTTAGGATAAAAGAGTTACAGCCATAGTACTTAGAAGATTAAGTAATAGGTGTAGGAAAGTTCCATGATACCAAATGCTAAGAACAAGCTTAGGAGCTTCAGCAGTCTTAAGATAAAGCATTTGTAAACTTTGTAGAAACCCTTGAGTTACGTGCTCTTTCAGTTATTTCATTTGGACTGCAGTACCTGATTTTTATCTGTTACAGAGCTCCCGAGAAATATCACGGCTAAGTATCCTTTACCTTAAATCTCTTCATGGTGAACTAGGTCAAAAGGTTAATGACAGATCCACATGTGACTTTTTGCTTTCCTTTCATAGATATTTCAGCTAACCATTTTCAGCTTACGGATTTTATGACCCTTCTGCCCCTTGTTTTTCAGAACATTTGCATTCAATACATAAGAAGATATTTTTAGCACCGTGCAGCTGTAGTGTGTAGCTCTGCAAAGCAGCTTCCTGAGTCAGAGATCAGCTACTCAGTAGCCCTGACATTAAATCAGATCAGCTTGGTAGCTTCTCTAAGCTATGCCAATTGATTCTAGCCCACCAGAGCACTTGCTACCATGATGAACAGAACAGTGAGGACACAGGAAAACACTTGGTAGTCCTGAAGTCACAGGGTGCAATGGGAGATGCTAGAAGGGCTGCAACATAGGAGAAAATGGAATCAGAGACATTCAGATTACATCATCTGTGAAGCACCAGTAAAGCAGGCTAACAAAGGGTGATGGTTGAATTGACCTGAAAAAAAAAAAAAAAGAAAGAAAAAAAAAAAAAAAGCTCCTCCCAATTTGTATGGAACTTTGTTCTGAGGAAAATCTCTAACTATTCTACTCCTAGCCAACACCTAAAATGACAACTAATGTTGAAATGGTGTTTTCCGAATGGATACCAGTTTTAGGTTTCAGTAATTTCTAATAGAAATGCTCAATATCCACAAATGAATAATGTTAAGGAAATATAAACTTATAGTATGGGGTTTTTTGGTGGTTTGGGTTTTTGTTTGTTTGTTTTTTAATCAAGCTTGTACTGCCTGTATACAGTGTTATGAGGTTCACATTTTACTTAGAAGGGGTCAGGGAAATTATAATCACTTACCTAAACACTTAAGACTCAGCTGAAATTAAGGTTACTCTTAATTTGCTTTTCATTAAAGTATTAAGGATAGCAAGACATAATTTTAGGTATATCTTGAACCCAGCAGACCTTTGTGACTTAATTCAGTGTGTGACTTAATCTTAATCTGTGTGACTTAATTCAGAGGAAAATTTGGTCCTTTACTGTTCAGGAGGGTTTAAGAGGATTTAAAGACAGTTTTATCTTTAGGAGTTTTACCTTTACCTTTCTTTGCCTTTAGAGTAGTGCAAAAATGGCAACCCAGTTAAGATATGAAAAAATTCTACTATATGTTTATTCCAAGAAATGAAAAATTGGAAAATTAGCAAAAGGAAGAATATTATGGGGAAGAACTTCAACAGAACAGTAGAAAAATATTCAAAATGCAACTCTAAGAAAAGAAATTTTCTGAAATACCTGTTATAAGTTTGGATGGTTGTAGCTTTTCTGTTTATTTTCATCCCTTTAGGGAACTACTCTTCTCATTATATGCAACTCAAATAGCTCTTCTGAAAAAATATGACTTAGAATTCTACATTTTCACAGTGGTTATAGCACTCACATTGCACTGCATCATATCAGAATTTTTTTTTTCCTAATACTGTAAGTTACAGAATGAGATATAACTATATCACTCAATGTAGCAATTAAAATGTAAAAAAGGATGTGCCTGTTTTTCTATCATGCCCTCCTATGCTTTTAGCAAGTAAGTAGCCACTTTTATGTTTCAGTAGCTGGTTAAAATTGAATAGCTTCCATCAAAAGTCATCACAGTTCACAATACTTGTGTGTTTCTAACCATTTCAAACAAATCTGCATTTTATAGCCTCATCTGTGGTTGCATTCAGCAGTTTAATAGTAATCAGGAAATGAATGAGAAGTCTTCCAAGACTAAACAGCCTTTCAAAGAAAGTTCTACATTCTTCTCACGTCCTTTAGAAGTAAAGAAAGAAAGAACTGAAAAGTTCAAGTATTATATATCACCAGGAAGCCAGGTATATTCAAAATGCAAATATGTCCCAAAATGAAAAAGTGAGCTGTCTGCTGATGCCAGGAGTTTGTAGATTCATTTCCCTCATTTCACTCTCAAAATCTGATTGTTTCTGTCCAGTGTTACTCTCCTGTTTTACTGATGAGTATGATGTCAGACACTCTTTAGCAAATTAGCATCAGGTCTGCTATCTGAATTTCAGATCAATATCACTGCTGCACCCCTAAGACGTGATATAGGAATGTTTCTGTGCAAAGGATTCATGTGATATGTGTCACACAAAATTAACTTTGTCAAATATATTCCTTGCAAAGATAAGCCCAGCAGAAAGTATGAATATGTGGCAGCACGGCTATTTTCCAATGTAATCAGTAATATACATAGTTTGTAATTCTGAGATCTCTTACAGGTTTGTAGTGATTTAATGTGACTTAAAACTGATCATAGTATGTGACTGCTTAATGGGTACGGTTTTCTTTCATCAATGAACGCACATCTTGATTGCTGGTAACCTCTGAGTCTCTGCAGTCAGCGCCCTGTTGCCAGTGTCACTGGTTACAGGTGCATAGCCATTGTACATGCAAACGTAGCATCCACTCTGAACTTCACAGGTCCTTAAAGTTCTGCATGCAGCTGAAGCATATAACATGCCATATTTCCTGAGAATTCAATCTTTTGTCTTCATTAATAGGCATCTAATATCATGACACTGTTTCCAGGTACAATCCCTCCACTCATTAAGTCAGTTGTGCAAAGTGAGGAAGGGCTGGCAACCAACGAAGGGCTAAAGATGCTGGTCACCATTTCCTGTATCTTGGTTGGGGTCTTGCTGCTTTTTGTGATGCTGCTCATCGTGCGGAGGAGGAGGAGGGAGCAGAGGCTGAAGAGGCTGAGAGGTAAGATGAGGGCTGTGGCACTTTTTTCTACATATGCGTACTCCCTGAACATGAAAGTACAAGTGTGGCTGCACATGACCAAACTGTTAATCCCCAGCTGGTAAAATTTTCCTGCAATACATAACAGACATGAGGCAACAAAGTACATGTGCTTTCTTTTTCCTCCTTTTTCAGTTAGTAACAAGTTTCTAAAAAATTATTCATATATCTATTATTATTTTGCATGAGGGAAAGAAAAGTAATTCTCAGGTGTTGTTTGTTTCCCTTTTTTGCTGTTGTTGTTTGTTTCCCTTGAGAATGTTCCTGATAAATTAGGATCATTTTTTTTTCTAAGGGTAAAATCAGATGTTCTGAAGATGGGGGGATTTCAGTTTTCCTGCAGATGTAAATCATGATTCTTGAATTATAAAATGAAACTAGCCACTCGTTAGTAAGCTAGAAAACACAACAAGATATTCTCAGATTTGTTGCCACATCTTTTTTCTTATGATGTGTTAGAACTGTTACAGCAAAACTTTATTGTTCACTGACCTATCATTGTCATTGCTCTGGAATTCAGGGCAACTGGATGTTTTATATTGTATAAAAGCTTTCTCATTTGAAACCTTTTATGTAATTTACCTCTATACAGTGGGTTTTTTTAATCAAAAAGTGGCAGATTAAGGACGAAGAAAGTGTTATCTTATCTTCTCAAAAATACTGTGGAATTCCATTTCATAACAAGGAGGATATTTTGAGCTCCTTGGCTTCAGGAAATGATGGTTGTGCATATTTAACTTTTCATGGTTAATTTACAAGTATTTATATATTCTTGAGTTACAGTCCCTTAAGAAAGGCTGATGATCACTTACCAGTGTGGTTTTTGCATAACATAAGACTTCTCTGAGTTATTTCTTCTGAGAAAATAGGAATTTAGAAAAAAAGCATATGAACTTCACTGAAACATAGACTGTGCCAAAGAATTCATCAGTATTTTTCATAAAGGTCATAAGTATTTAAATATGATTTCTGTAAAAGTTGCTCTCATTTCTTATCTGCACTTGTCAAGCTACAGCTCAACACCCCAGCCATCTGGTCCTGTTATATTTGTGTGCAGTACAGTGACTGAAGTTCTTTTTTGTACATTATTTTCAGTCTCTGAGGATATTCCTTTTACATGGTAGGAACAAAGTGATTTCTTAATTTCTTCATTGATAAATGAAACAGATGAATCTTTTACATTTTTTCTCTGTAGATTTCCCATCAGTTATTAATTTCAAGGTTTTTATCTTGTACCTTTGCAATCTTCTTGTAACAGTCACATCAGCATCAGATGAAGAGGTAATAGCCTTTCTTCCTTGCCTTTATGGTCTTCTGTCTACATCTGCAGGGATCGCCTTTTGGGATACTGCATTATTTTAAGAATTTGCACTTAACTTCTTATCCTTTGAGATATCTGACAGTTCTCTGATTATAGTGCAGCAGGGTAACATTCTCTCTTGTACAGCTATGGCCTGTATTCTGATATATATCTTAGAGAAGTGCAGACACGCTGATAACGTGTGACCAGCCTACCTGGTGATCTAGATTGTTATACTAGTGACCTGGCGTTTTCATTGTATTTTAGCTATTTGAGTCTTGTGTCATTTTCAAAATTTTATCAGATATTTAATTTATTCCAGGCCACTGATAAAAGTACCAACAGTGTGATGTCCCATGATGCATGACAAAAATAAATCCTAAACAATTATTTTCTGCATAAAATTATATTTTGAATGTGTTGAAACTCATATAAAATGGTTGCTGTGTTAACTTTTTGCATCACGCTGCTTTGTAATTAAAATAAAGTACCAAAATTTTGCTCTAGAAAAATATAAATATAATATTTTAATGTTATTTAATTGTATCTCAGTAAGAGCTTTTTCAATGTCATCAGCTCTCATTTTAAAAAATCAGCTTTGTTTGACATTGCTTATTTACCACAATTTCATGTTGCTATATTGTTTGCCATCAAGCTTCATTCCCTTTTGGGATTTTTTTTTTGCCATTTTGTTCATTGCCAAGATCAGATTGATAGGACTTCAGTAATTCAGATTATTTTGTTCATTCTTTTTGAAGACAGATGCTGAATTAGTGATTTTCTGCTCTTCTGGAGGTTACTTTGTTCTAAAAGTCTTACTGACAATGAGTATTGCTGTTCCAAAGAACCCCTTAGTAAGTTCTCTAAAAAAATCCTGTGTGCAAGTTTTTCTGATCTCTTAACTAGAAAGTTTTTCTGTTGTAGATTTTGTGTTCAGCGTTCATCTGAATTAGTTTTTAAATTGAAATCCTGTCATTATCCCTTGCTATGCATCACCTGGTGGGGTTTCTCCAAGGCACGGAACTCATTTTTTCTAAATCATGATTCCACCATCAACTTGCCTTTAGTCTACGTTAGAAATTATAGTTTCCACAGCAAGACCTTCTAAAAGAATTTGTACAAGTTACAGATGTGATTCTTGCTTTTGTGACTCCAGGGGAAGTGTTTTCTTTGAACCTGCTTGACAATAAGGAGTGAGAATTGAAGATTTATTTGTAGTATATTCCACATGCAAACTTTTCTATCTGTGCTTATAGACAACAGGTTTGTGGTTACAGTTCCTGTGGGGTAAATGTAGCATGAGATCAGCAGTCTCTGCATTCTTAATCCTTTTACTCCTTGCTTTAGCATGTAAATTAAACCTTTGTCTTCCTCCTGTGTCATGCCCAGCGTGATGTATTTCTCCAGGAGTACTCTAGAAAGAACGTCTACTTCTCAGCAATCCCCTGAGTTTTGCTGTTTAGCAGTTCCACAAGTCAGGTCACAAGAAGGACAATTGACTGCTGGAGTTCATGCAGCTGTTTAGTAGGTCAGCATATATTATAAAAGAGAAATCTGAAGTCTTACCACTCTGTCTCCTTACTCTTAATGTAGCTCCACTACCACCATAAAAGTTTTTCCCTTTGTTTTTAAATCCGACTCACCTTAATCCAACCAGAAAATATCAGCACGGTATGATAGTTCAGAAGTGGCAGCAGGCAAGTTAAAGCTGTACCAGAGCCTCTGATTTCCCAGGGGGCAAGCCAAACATGTTAAGAATATTAAGGACAGATACCGCAGCAAAAGGAAATGAGAGCTGTCGTTGGGTCGGTGCCTGTCAGCACAGTCATGTGTCAAACCCATGGTGAGGAGCAGTCTGTCTTTTTTCACTAAGGCATGGGGTGATGCTTGACTGGAGCAGGAGATCACCCTTTTCACTCCATCATTCATGGGCTCCTCAAGCCCTGTTTTTCCTACCTGAAAGCTGGGAGACAGGACACTGGCAAGGATACTGACTCATTTTATGAAGTATTCTCAATTTGCTGATCAAAACTCTAACATAGGAAATGCACATTACAGTCTGTATTTTATACTCATTGGTTTGTGAAACTAGTATTTCTCCTGTAGCTGATGTTTTGGATACACTGTTACCATATTCAGCTGCTTTTAGGCTTCTGGGTTTTAATTTGACAGATACATAAGGTCCCTTATTTTCTTGGAACATTTGTTTTGATCCAATCCTATACTAGCCTTTGTGCCCAGTACAGCCATCATTAACTACAGTAACGCTGCTGACCATTGTAACAATCTACATGAGTAACTAGTGCATTTAAACCTAGCTGATGGAGTTACTTTTTTTTCTGCCTTACTTTCATGTTCAACTTTTGACATGTAACACGATCTTTCATGATGCCTCACGTTATTCTTGATTAAAGGTACACAATCTCCTTTGCACCTTTTCAACCAGGAATGCATGTGTTAATGAGCATTTGAATATGTGCCACATATATTTAATGATGAGAATGTAACACTACTTACAGCTGTTGGTGTGCAGCACCTGAGAACATGTGAGAGAGGTGTTTGTCATTTAATACTAATAAACAAATCTAAAAAGTAAATTCAATAACTCTGGGACAAGCAACCTTCAACTTTGTTCCTTTGGCTTTTCTAAGCTGTGAATTACTTGCATAAGTATCCATAGTCTTCACTTAAGGAGGCAGCAATTGCTTCACAAAAGCTGCTAGCTGAATTAAAACAATATTTGCATATTATATCATCCATGTTCTGTGTGCCAGAGGGAGAAGGAGTACATAGTCTTTTCTTGATCCTAGTGCTGCTAGAATAACAAGAAGTTAGTCTAGCAGCATAGTTCTATCATAGCAGTTATTCTATTTAAAGTTTTCTGAAAAGAATATGACTCAAATCCAGAACTTTTTTTTCTTTGTATTTTGTTTTCTTCAAGAGAATTTTGTCCCTTCCTGGGTCCCTAGAAGTCAGTAGCAAAACTACCTCTAATGTCATTTGGGATCAGCAACAGTGGTAGTTTGGTTTATGACTGATGATAAAGACATTGTCATCTACTATATAGTACCACTTATCAGAGTGTTAACAGCAAAAGACAATCCCAAAGTGTAAAATTGGAAGTTGGAGTGCCTAAATGGAGCACTGCTTGGATTAGATGGGACACCTTAGATGAAGACTCCAAAGATTCCTTCCCTCCACCAGGGATTTGACATGCTTTGTGCTGAAAAGGGATAGATGAAGGTTAAAAATAAAGGAGTGGAGCAAACAGGCCTAGTGGAAGCACAGTATTTCAGCTTCTCCAGTAATAAGGGAGGAATAAAGCTTAACAGGCAAGCTGGCACAGTGTCACAGAAACAGAAAGTAGGAAGTGGATGGAACAGATTTTGTTGAGGGTTTTTTATGAATAAAAAAAGCCCTTTGCCCATTCCTTTTAAAAATAATACAAATGTAGCCAGAACAATGCATGAAGATGGTGGTTTGTTTCTGCTTACATTTTCTGAATTTTAAAGGTAAGATATTTGATAGGATCACAAGCAAGGAAATCGTTGCAGGTGTAGCAGATCCAAGAAGTGAGGAAGGAATAAAAAAGGTGAGACGGAGAAAACAAAGACAAATTCAGGAAATGTCTTGGTAGGTGTTGGTAGATTTACAAGCAGCAGATAAACAAGAAATTTAAAGTTTCACATAACAGGAGAGCGGATTGAAGACTTAAAACTTGGAATCATTTTCTTCTCAGATTTGCTTCACTCGGTTGCACAAAAGACTGCTTTGTTGCTGTGTGATATACTTAAGGACTCTGGAGTCAGCATTTTTAAGTGAATTTGTTTAATGGCAGACTGCAGGAGAACAAAACATTATGTCTATTTTTGCTGAACAATACTACAGAAATTATTATATCATGTTGGTAAAGTTTTACAGAAAGCTACCTGAAGAACACTGTGTGAACAAACCTTGAGCTGTTGTAATGGTTTGAAAACAAACC